CAAAGAATTCAAGATGACTCTCAACAACAGGTTCCAAGTCTTACAAAATCGACTAAAAGAAGAAGAAATTACGATGGACGGCAACTGAAAAGGGATCGAAGATGCCACAATTTCATTTTGTCAGACAAGAGCAAGAGGTGGTAACAAGCATTATCATAAGGGATGGATCTCTATTGAAATCTTGGACTAGATTTAAGAAAGAAGGAAGAAGAAGGCAGCAATTAACAACAGTCGAATAAGAACAGAAAAATTCAAGGCACTAACTGAATACAAGGAAGCAAACAAGTAAGTGAAGAGGGATATCAGAGCTGACAAGTAGAAATAGATACAACAGTAATAAAAGCTGAAAGAGAAGGAAATATCAAATAGCTTTATGATACAACGAAGACGCCAGTGGGGAAATATAATAAACCAGAGACCGGTCAAGGACAATGAAGGCATGACAATCACGAAGATTCAAGAACACAACAAAAGGTGTGTAGAATACTACGAGGAAATGTTGATTAGACCAGCTCGATTGGATCCACCGGACAGTGAAACAGTACGCACAAACCTTCCTATAGATTTCACTCCACCAACAATCGAAGAAATCAGGATGGTCATCAGACAAATCAAGTTCGAGAAAGCAGCACGACCTGTCAATATACCAGCTAAAGTACTAAAGTCACACATAGAAGTAACTGCAAACATGCTCCGCGTTCTAATTAGGAAGATTTGGTAGGAAGAACAAGTGCCACCGACAGACTGGAAAGAATGATATCTCATCAAGATACCAAAGAAAGGAGATCTATGCACATATGAGAACTACAGATGAATCACATCACTGTCAATACCAGGAAATGTTTTCAGAAGAGTGTTGCTAAACCGAATAAAAGATTCAGTGGACACCAATCTCCGAGATCAACAGACTGGATTTTGTAAGGATCGTTCGTGCACAGACCAAATCACAGCACTGCAGATCATTGTTAAACTCTTCACTATACATCAACTTCATTGACTATAAGTAAACAAATGTAGTAAACCAGAGAGATCGGTCAAGGACAAATGAGACAAGACAATCATGGAGATTAAAGGATAGAAGAACAGATGAGTAGAATACTTTGAGGAAGCATTTGATGACTGTTTCGTCCTAGTATGAGACCCTTCAACAGTGTACATCCACGATCCTGCTCACAGGTTTTGAACCAAGAACATTCGATCTCACACGAGAATATTTAACTTCTAGACCACTGAGTCAGCCAGCATTCAACAGTGTTAATGTCTATCTGTAACCAATCTATGAAATTACACCACAATTCACCATTATCTTCAGTAAATTATGATCTAATAACAGATCCAGTTGAACTCTACTAGTTCTTTTTCTTTTTAAATTTAATCAAATCAAGACTAATATTGAAGGTCAGATGGTAAAGATAATTATGAGAAAAGAAAATGAAGTATCCGATCAAAAAACAAAAAAAAAAACAAAAAAAAACAACGAGAAAAAATCAAAAAAAAAAGACAGAGAAATCAGTTTATAAGGCTAAATGTTGTGTTCATAGATAAGAGATAAGTTTTCCCATTGTTTTATGATTTAGAAAGAAAAGAAAAGAAATTAGGAAAATATGGGTATGAAATAAAGTGTTTACGAATTGAATCACAATAGAAATCAGGTTATGCTATGTAATTTGAGATTAGAATACATTTAAGTAAGATAGAGATTTATAAGTAAAGATAAATTTTTTCTGGTTAGCGTTTTTTTAGCGAGTTAGGTTTCTACGGGATGGGGACGCTAACCCCATGCCCAACCCTCCTCCTTTATCCGGGCTTGGGACCGGCAGTAACTCTGGAAGAGCTACAGGCGGAGATTTATAAGTAAAGATAAATAGGGATTAGTAATAGAATTCAGTTAGATGTATGTTTCGTTCTATTTGGAATTCGTGTTTATTAACAATTGTCTACATAAAATACTTCAGATCTGTTGGATAAACGCCATCAACAACAACCTAATATAGGAAAGAACAAACCAGATTCCAACTGAGGATGAAATCAGGAAGAAGTGCTGGAAGTGGATAGAATACATATTGAGGAAAGCACACAACTGTGTCAAAAGACAAACTTTTACATTGAATCCTCAGGGTCAAAGGGAAAGAGAAAGAGTAAAGGATACAATACACCGAGAAATGGAGATAGACATGAGAATAATGAGCAACAATTGGATGAAACTAGAAAAGAGGGCAGAGTGGGACAGAGTGTGTTGGTGAGTAGTGGTCTATGACCTATGCTCTCTTGGGAGTAACAGGCGTAAGTAAGTGAATAATTAAGTTAAATAAGATCAAATCTATGGTATGAATTCTTATTTACAAACTTAATTCATTTGAATACTGCCCACTAATAAAGTTTTATATTGCTTTTAATGGTTTCGGAGACTAGGCCTAGTTATGTACATTACAGAACTCATTAGTAGATTATATGGAGATCTAAGCAAAGATGGATAGTGACTAGCAAGTGAAACAACACCAAGTGAATTTAAACTTCACCCCACTGCTTAAGTAGGTGGTTATCAGGAATCAGTAGCTAAGTGGATAACCCGATAGTGTTTGAAGCAAAATGTACTGGGTTCTAGTCCTGGAGTGAACATCAACTATGGAATACAGGTACATCCAGTTAACGAGTTCCCAATAGGATGAAACGTGCGTCCAACTGGATTCCACTGCTTGTCACTATCCATCTTTGCTTGAAGACCTTTTAACTTAAGGCTATATCGAGGCAATCCGCATAGGATGTACATATGCCAACATGAGACTGAAAAATTTCAGTCCCAAATAACAATGGTAAGATACAAATAAAACAACATCAAGTGATTTTATATTGTCGAATACCATTTGAAAAAATAGAATATATACTGAGCCGGACATTTACTCCGCCTGGAGTCCCTTTCCGGGGGCTACTGCCGGTCCCAAGCCCGGATAAAGGAGGAGGGTTGGGCATGGGGTTAGCGACCCCATCCCGTAGAAAACTAACTCGCTAAAAAAACGCTAACCAGAAAAAATTATTCAAACCATTTAACTTTAGATCTAAAATAAACAACTTTGACTGTGATTATATACTACTAAATAGTGGGTAAATAAAGAGACATTTTTATATCTGAACTATCCCACGGATAGAGGGGGGGATTAGGATTAATTTATCCTGCCTAGAGTACTGGTATTAAAATGCAGTTTTTTACAGACTGACAGAATTTAGTAAATCTATACAGTATACATGGGATTTAGTCTTGTTATCAAACATTTGTCAAAATTATTCATTTATAGTTTATACAAATAGGATATCTCATTAGTTGAAATCATGATTCAATTGAAGCTAGACCACCATGGAAAACCTGGAAACACTGGATCGCCGTTTCGTCCCATTGTGGCACTCCTCAGCAGTGCGCATCCACGATCCCACCTCACGGGATTCGAACAAAGGATGTATCAGTCTCTCTCCAGGCGCTTAACCAACTAGACCACTAAGCCAGCATTCGATGGTGTTAATGTCTAACTTCAAATAATTCACGAAATTGAGCGACACATCCATCATTGTCATCAGTGAGTTACTATGTCACAACAGACCCGGTTGAACTCCACTGGTCACTGCTTCTCAATAGAACTTCAGGATATACCTCTTGAAGCCAGTCACTAGTGAGCCCAGGACAAGGTTGAATGGAGAGGACTGGTGGGTGGCCTATGATAGCTCACGAGGAGTTATAGGCGTAAATAAATAATAAATAATAATAAGAGTAGGAATGACAACATCATTAGCTGGAACCCGTCAGAATGTCTTAGATAAAACCAGAGGATGACTCTTTAGAAAAATTTTCATGAACTGGTTAGAACTCCATTGTTACAACGTGGGCGATATTTTTATAGTTCTGAAACACAAAAATGACTTACTGAGACCTACTAGACAAATCCATTAAGCAATTCATATTCCTTTACTAGATATTCCATTGAAGAGATAATTGGATGGAACAGTAAGAGGAATTCTCCGTCGAAACACAAACTTCATCTTTTTGAGCTTTATATGATAAAATTAGTCCATTATTTGATTCACGCAACTAAATCTATTTAGCCAGGATAGACATTCAGAAGTAACTTAAATCTAACCATGAATTGTTGTGTAAAAATGGATACACATTTAAGTTTGTAACATCAAAACATCTATGTTCATGAAATTACAGTCTAAAGGTGACAGTCAATGAAATCAAGGAACATCGTCTAAAACCTACAATGAGTAAACTCAATGCCGTAAAATGCATCTCTTTTTTCTTTCGTTAGCCATTATTGATTTTAAGTAGTCAGTTAGTCAGCTACAACGAAGGACCAGGCACATATATGCATCGGTACAAGTTACCATACCGCATTAGCACAACAAGATGAACACCAGATTCATAGAAGTAGTTAATTCAGTGGTGGTAATATATAGAAGAAAGATTGCATATAAGGACATAGTACAGGAAGAAAGAATTAGTTCGTAGAAAGAAAGATTTGAAGCGATTTTAATCTCTTAGTTTAAGGGAAGACAGTGTATACACCGACGTCATTGTGATCGATTCTGAGCCATGTCACCTCGAGTCTCTAACCATTGGTTACGATAGTCATGCGGACCCCAATCAAGTAGTCTGCATCTACCAACATGGCTAAGACCAGAAGTTAGTGACTTCAAGCACTGATGCCATGTCTTGATTTGGCCACCCCTCACTTTCTTCCAATTATCCCTAACACCGGCTACCATTGCGCATAGTGGCAATCGGTGTTCAGGCATAAGCAACACTTTGCCCAACCATCTCAGTCGATAAAGTAGTCTAGTTAAACCGTTATGTCTCACTACGTCGATTGATATTTATAACAGTAACTGTTCTTGTTGACAAAGTTACACTTAATATACCATCAGACACATTCATCAAATCTTTGTTCTTTCATATTTATTAGATACAAATCATCTTATCAATGTAGATTTATAAAAATAAATTAACTTACTTTTGCCCCTAATGATGAATAACATTCATCGAATAACATCCAAATTTTTGGTTTATACCTTTGCCATAAAGTTAATTTACCAGATTGATATGCATCTTCCCAACCAAATTTTGAATATAATTCTTCTTCAGTTCTTCTTTCTGTATCTAAATCTAAATCATTTAATATTTGAAGTGTTTCTTGAGTTTCACGATGTGATGTATATGTCATCCAACAACATGGTTCAACCTATCAAAACAAAAAAAAGAAATACCAATAACATGATTATATCAATAAAATAGACAATATTATTAAAATATTATGGAAAACTTAGAAGCATTGGATGACCGTTTCATCCTATTGTAGGACTCCTCAGCAGTGTACATCTACGATCACGCCTCATGAGACTCGAACCCAGGACCTATCAGTCTCGCTCGCGCGCAATTAAATTCTAGACCACCGAGCCGGCCGGTATCCAGAGGTGTTAATGTCTAACGTCAATCAATCCATGATATTGCACCACCGTCCGCCAATGTCATTAGTAAGTTACTATTTCTAGCTTTACTACAATTTCCATAAAACCCCCTTTCTGATTTTAATTTATCCTTAGCAGTAACCAGATGCAATGAGTTGGGTATATTATGTTACCATTAAGCTAACTAATGTAACTATTAAACAAGACATTTGCTAGATGTAAGTAAATGTCAAGATCTTATAACTTAACTATTCAATTTGATTGACAGTACTCATAATGTTTATTCCTTGAGTTAAACAAACTCATTTCGTTAGATGGTGGTTGGAGGTAGTCGACAGGAAACCCTGGATCTGGGTTTCGTGCTACTTGACACTCGTCAGCAAGATGTACCTGCATCTTGAGATAACTGGTGCTCCCTGACGGATTCTATCCCGTGTCAACCAGCTTCACAGTCAGAGACGTTACCACTGAGCTACCGGGCCGCTGCCAACCTCCTGTAGGACTGAGATGTAATCGCAATTAATTGATCACTGGGTGGTAATCAATGTCATGCGTGTCTGGTCCTTATTAGTGCAGATCAAATGCGATCGACCATGTTGCAATGTAGCCACCAGTCTAAGTGACTTGACACTGCGGGCACTATTGTGAGATTAGATGGTGGTTGGAGGTAGTCAGTTCCATCAAGACTACAAGTACACCTTGCTGACGAGTGTCAAGTAGCAAGAAATCAAGGTCCAGGATTTCCTGTTGACTACCTACAACCACCATCCAATCTCACAATAGAGCCCATAGTGTCGAGTCACTTAGACTGGTGGCCACATTTTAACATGGTTGATAGCATTCGATCCGCACTAATAAGGACTAGACACGTATGACATTAATCACCACCCAGTGATCAATCAATTGTCAAAACTCATCTCGTTCCAAGCACATGTCAGAAATAATATTGAAATAATAAAAAAACTGGTAATGTGATGTCATTTACTCTTTTGTGAATATTTATTCTAAATGGAGAAGTCAATAAGTTCATTTTGATCACCGTAGTAACAGAATTCACTGATGCTGGTTATATATATATATATATATATCCTTGAAGTTATTTAAGACGTTAAGCACTCACTATATATCTAAGTTTTTAGTTTCTATGTTGTAAATACAACAAATTGTTCATTTACCTTACTGATAAAGATTAGTATAACACAAAGCTAAGTGAATCAAAACTCATTCCATCATAACTAATAGTCCGTTCTAATATTGATTAACTATTACTTAGCGACTGTTAACCAATATCAAAGTCACAATCTTCAATACGATCGTCAATATACTTCTATTGTACGGAGCTGAAAAGTGAAGAACTTGTGGTGGTTGGTGTTCGATATATTCCTTAAACTCCGTATACAGTTCGTCTCAGTAACCGTCACCAAATAATGCTCCAACGGTATATTAATCAGAAGGCGAATACGAAGCGTTAATTATGTTTATTAAGGGACCACACACAGATATCCAATATTACAGATGCGTTAAGCAAGCATGAAATAGTTGTGCCAAAAGGCAAATCGGCAAGCGAGCGGGCGAGCGAGAGAGAGCAAGGGCAAGAGCGAGCGATCGAGCGAGTGAGTGAATGAACGAGCGAGCGAGCGAGTCATGAATATGAATAACATGGACATATATATACATAGTGAAATTAATGAATCATCAAGTCAATTAAGCGGTTAATAGTAAAGCTAGTAGCGTGAATAAATGCGTAGGCAGTAAGGCTTGCCGAGCATACGTATTCATACAAGGATAACAATAATAAAGGTACATACATTCGCAACAGTAATAAGGCTACAATAAGTTATTATAGTGCAGGTGACTTTGTCCGTTTAATAAAGTTAATAAAAAGGGCTTAACAGAATTAGGTGAGAGCAAACTCAATTGAACGAGAGTTGCTATAACCTACTACAACCATCATTAAGAAGATCCAAGTATTTATAAATAGTAGTTTACTCAACATCTATTGGCTAGTTACCATCATCAACAGCCTTCTATGAGAGAGAACAAACGAGCTTTCAACTAAAGAAAAAATTAAGAAAAGACTTTGAAAGTATATATAAAACATACATTACTCAAATCATCAAACTGTAACACGACACAAAATACTGACTTGTAATCCTGAACAGAAGTGAAAAATACAAAATTCAAAAAACACATTACATTAATAAATAGAAACAAATATGAAATATCATTGATTAAGATCATGAGTCAGTTGAAGCTAGACCACCATGGAAAACCTGGAAGCACTGGACGGCCGTCTCGTCCTATTATGGGACTCCTCAGCAGTGCGCATCCACGACCTCGCCCCATGCGAGATTCGAACCCAGGACCTACTGGCTTCGCGCGCGAGCACTTAACCAGTAGACCACTGAGCCGGCATCCAACGGTGTTAATGTCTAACTTCAACTAATCCACGAAATTGAGCGACACATCCACCATTGTCTTCAGTGAGTTTCTATCCCACAACAGACCTGGTTTGAACTCCACTGGTCACTACTTCTCACTAGAACTCCAAGATATACCTCTTGAAGCCAGTCACTAATGAGCATATGTTGATTATTATCAGAAGGGGTTTTGTGGAGATTGTAGTAATTTCATTGATTAAGATCATGAGTCAGTTGAAGCTAGACCACCATGGAAAACTCATGATCTTAATCAATGAAATTACTACAATCTCCACAAAACCCCTTCTGAAAATATGAAATAGATGAATAACAACTAGAATGAGTTGTATAGGATAGAATTGAATAAAGATTGATAGATTATCAATCTATGCTCCTCTACAAAGAGTAACAGGCATAAGGAAATAAATAAATAATTCAGTGATTACCAAACATTCATCTTATATTCATATAAACATAAGTCAATAGAAATAGTAATTTCATGGTAGATTTCTTCTTTATTCATGTGTATCTACTATTGAGACTAATACTTTTAAAGTTGTATATGTCAATTAGAAATGAATAATAGATATTAGACAAGTGAATAGTTATAGATGAATCTATTGTCCTGTCATTTAGTTTATATCATGTTTAGTATTACATCATAGTTATTTTAATAATGTAATTGTCAGATGGTGGAGAAGATTTTTGTAGCTTTGAGCTTAGAGAATAAAACTCCATCAAAATGTAATTGTATTTACATTTAAGTATTTTAAGTAGTATAAAATATTTTTTTTGTTTTTTTTTTAAAAATTCAATTGAATTCAATCATTTCAATGAAAATATTTCTATTTTCATTCATTAGTATCTAATTGAATAAGATGTCTATAGTTGTTAATCTTGAGTAGGTTTTAATATACACAAAAGGGAAAAGCAAGATTCTCAAATATAATACAGCATGTAACAATCCAATCATAATTGACGGAGGAGATTTGGAAGATGTAAAAATTTTTTTAATATTTGGTCAGTATGATTGATGAACACAATGGATTTGATGTAGATGTGAAGAGGTGGATTGACAAAGCAAAAGAAACATATTTACCACTGAAAAACATCTACAACTCAAAATAATTATCCACAAGCAAACATTAATGTCAGAATTTTCAATACAAATGTGAAGATAGTCAGTTCTACTGTATGGAGCGGAAACCTGGATAAATACGAAAGAGATCATCCAAAAGATACAAGTGTTTATTAAAAGTTGTCTATGCAAAATACTTCAGATTCGTTGACTGGACACTATAAGCAACAACCTACTGTGGGAGAGAACAAATCAGATTCCAGTGGAGGAATGAATCAAGAGGAAGTGTATAAGACAAACATTGGGGAAAGCATCGAAATGCATCACAATGCAAGCTCTCACTTGGAATCCTCAAGGCCAAAATAAAAGAGGAAGACTAAAGAACACATAAAGTCGAGAAATAGAGATAGATATGATGAGAAAAATGGACAAGAATTAGATGGAACTAGAAAAGAAGGCCCAGGACAGATTGTGCTGGTGAATTCTGGTCGGCGGCCTATGCTTCACTAGGATAACAATAGTTTCACAATTAAATGAACTAATCAGAGGGAGAGTTTGTGGATATTTTAGTAAATTTATGAGTCAATTAAAGTTAGACATTAACATTGTTGGATGCCGGTTGAATGACTAGTCTAGTGGTTAAGCGCTCAAGCGCGTGACTGATAATTCCTGGATTTGATTCTTGCGAGGCGAGATCGTGGATACGTACTGCTAAGGAGTCTCGTAACAGGACGAAATAAACGTTCAATGCTTCAAGTTGATTTAAAACATATGATTCACTTGTACTATATATTTCGAACAATCTGATCACAAATATAGTTGTTACGGGAGGTTGACTATGAATACAGTGGTCTTGAGTGCTGTTAGAGGTATGAGGGCGGTTATCACTTCCCGGTTGCCCACACCGTGGAAGGGTTCTCCCGGAGGTACCTGAAAAGGAAATTGGATTAGAGTTGGTCATAGTGACCTGAGAGCGTGACCGCAGTGCCCAAGGGACAGCTGCTTGAGGTCGGTCACACACGACCTTTTTATGAGTAGTTTTTGTGTTAGCTCCGTACTTGTTGAGACCTTAACGCCGGAGACGGATATCCGTGGGATAAGGTGAGGTGTGCAATTTTAGGGTCGACCTTTTCTAACCCCACCCCTCCTTGTGGGAAGGCAGCATCGCTGTCATGCTGGTTGTCTGAAGGAAACACCTTACTGCTGTCACACCTCTGTACAGTCAGCAGTACGACTTCGCCTTCGGACCTTGGTTTTGTTGCTTTTAGTCTTACCG